AAGGCCAACATTTGAGTCATCTCTTCATCCTGCGGATAGGTATCCACAGTCTTTGCCATATGAACCTCTGTCACTGGTGACCTCAGCAGCGTGGGCAATGTCTTCTCCACACTCTGAGTCTGCTGCTTATTAAGAGAACGACTCCGACTGAGGACCATCATACGAGCATGTTCATAAGCCACATTTTGTAACCGATAAGCCAGAATCCAGTCATTATACGGAGCCATTAGACTATTACATAGAAGGTCATATAACTGGTCATCAGTCACAACATCACCTTGTAACCTCAGTCGACTAGCAAATTGATCCACTGTATACAAATGATCAGAGACCAACTCCCCTGACTTCTGTTTCAAGCTGTTGAACTCAGCCCTGAGCTTGATGATGTCACCCGGATCGTAGTACTGATGTCGGAGTTGGAGCTTTAAGCTGTTGTATAGATCTTCAAATCGGCCTTGATTCAAATCGCAAGGTGGTAAGGCATCCCGAACTTTAGCACTTAATGAATATAGGAGCATATAGTAAGCCGTTGGAGTCGTGATACCGATAGCAAGTTGGCCCATAAGCCGTTCAGTAGACATAAAATGCTCCATGATAGACGGCCCCTTCTCCGAAGGGTTCCAATGTGGGTGCTTAGCCGCTTCAAGTTCGGCCCTTGCCTCCTTCCGACATTCCCGCAGTATAGAGCTTCTTGGTCGGTGGTGCTGTTCTGTATGCTCATCAGAGTCGATCTCCTCTTCCTCTTTCTTCTTAGAGTTGGGGGATTTCTTCTTAACCATCACCAGTTACAGTTCTCGGATGATTGTTGATCTATTCCAACCAGGGGTATTGAGATAACACAAGTATAGCCAAGATAGGATAGGTGCAAGATAGGATAGGTCTCGTATCAAGTACACCGAAATAAGGAAATAACGTTGTGCCACAGCCAACGAACAAAATAGCTATTCTACTACTAAGAACAGCAAGACTTCAAGATCTCAAGAGATCAATAGGCATAGACAACACGGCGTCATCTTCGCGCGCGCCACAAATTTTCTACCCTTGGCCACATTTTTTCTTCGGCGGCTTTCCGAGCCACAAACTGCGTTTTCCTTGTGTTTGCTGGTGGCCGCAAACACGAGCACCCTGAGAAATATGTCCCGATGCTGATGAGTCGCTTAATAATTGGAGTAGGCAACCACTTAGTTCACCTTATATGTGCTCAGGGCACCTATTGAGCGATTGATTAAGGGGCACCGTGCCCTGCTCCTCAAGCTCTAGGCCCTCATTGAGGGCTTGACAAGCCCCTCGTCCTCAAGCCCTTGCTCCGTTAGACCCTGGTCCTTAAGCCCCTGTTCCGTAAGGTGCACCACTGGACGTAGGAGCCGCCGCCGGCGCAGCAGCAGCGGTCCGCTGCCAGCGGATGTGGAGAACGTCAAGGAGAATCACGAAGATGATGGCATCATCATGATGCTGAGGAGGTAAGTTTCATCACGGCCGAACAGAGTCTCCCAGGGAGACTCCAAGAGCTGATAGAGTGTTGTTCCAGAAAGTGTTATCCCTCCCTTACAGTGCAGGAACGCGACGATATTCTACCAACGTAGTCCTCTCATCAGTTTGAATTTCTATCGTTTCAAACTTTGAAACGAGTTTGATTCGAGTTGTTATATTGGGGACATCGTAGATTCTACGATGTCTGAATTGTTAGCCTGAACTCTCTTAATAAGAGACTCTTATGGTCAACGACTCTGGTATGGTGCCTGGCCCTACTCCTATAATCAAGATTGAAGACAGCTCAAGCTCTGATAGTTCTACTCCGCCGAAACCTGGCCGTCGTATTCCGGCCGAGGATGGCTGTACTTCGCTAGAAGGCCAGGCGCACATGGGGCGGACTGCGACAAGCAACACCACATAGACCGGCGACCAATGGTCGCCAATGGCCTATGTGGGGTTCGGTAGCGAATGTGATTGGGCATTTGTAGTTGAGTCTCAATTGTTGAAACCCAGCTATTGAAGTGGTTTCTCGGGGTTCTGATTCCTTAGCTCCAACGGTTCTTTCAAGAGTTTAATGTTCAAACACTAATGTTGCGTTGAACCAAGTGTAAACTTTACACTGTAAAGGAAGTGTTTGAAAGCACCCCTGTCACGAGTATTCAATCGCTGAATATTCAGTCCACTGAATGTCGGCGCAATAACAGTAGTTTCAAGAGCGTTCAGTACCATTCACTCGTTGTTCCCAGTGTTGCAGTGCAACACTATGAACTACAACAGTTGCACGACAGCAACCGCGTCCGTTTCATTCATTCTGTACAGGTTAGTCACTTAGCGAACTCAAGACGCACGATTCAACAGCAAGGTTAATAAAATGGACTATATCATTCCTTGTTCATGGTGATATTGTCCTTCGTAGAAGGCGTTCTTGCATCTCAATTTCCTACAAGTACCACCACTCAGTCACTCTCTCTTCATCATACTCACCTTCTGTCGCCGCTCCTCGAGTATCTGGTCAACCTTAGCGTTAGTTCTTTCCACAGTGCATGCAGCAGCTAATCTCCGCTCATTCTCCAGAAGCAACCTTTTCTCCCTGATCAACGACCATCACTCCTATTGAACCACCAATCACTAACCTTCTCAGCATGCATACGAGATCGCTATCGGCTACGGCCTTCTTGAACATCATATTACGTTTATCACGATGTCTGATGTATTCCTCTCGCGCTTCTCGCTTATCAGCCTGAGTGCATTCCCTCTGACCTGTCTTCTATCGAAAAGAGTTCTCTCACCAACTCCCTCTCCTCAGCGAGGTGCTGTGCATGCTCAAGCTGCATCACCAAGTTCGTCGCGAACGGAGATGCCCTCAGTTTGTCACCCCACCGAGTGTTCCTCTCATGACTGCCGAATTTACGTATGATTTCGAATGCGCGTGAACTTACGTGGCCTGGGCACTCTCCATTAGGTCGAGGGTCCTGTGCCGCAGCATTTCCTCTTTAACCTACACCGACAATTCGAAAGCGATTCCCGTAGGCACCGGCAATGTCGATACCGCTTCCCGTTGTATTTGACGGTAACTCATTATCTTGATGGTCTCATCACGTGCCCTGGCACACACCTCTTGGCGGCGTTGTAATCGGTCGCTCGGATGATCATCATAGTAGCTTGTGGAACCTTCGTTGAGCGGCCAGGCGGGCATTGCAGTCTGAATACAATCAACACGATGGTTCATTGAAGCACACGTATTTCGCGACAACAGAATGCCCCTTGTCGAGGGTGAATTGGAGAGCCTACCTCACACGGTGGTTCTTTCTCGTCTCGATAGTACCTTCGCTCGCAGCTGGACTGTGAGTATTCCATGCGAAGATTGATGAAAGGAACTTGTGACACTCGGTTACCATCAGCAAGGAGGAACCCAAGACCTTACTCGAGTGGAAACGACAGTTGCTTACACAAGTAGATCGTAATGACCAGGGCGGTATAGCAGTCGTACTGTTGGCAAATTGAGGGGGTTGGTGGGAGGGAAGGTGTGCTTGGCTGAGAAAAAAGGAGAAGGTCAACAATTCCAAGGATGGTCACACTGATGCACCTGGAGTTGTCTCTGGCGATTGATCGATGTAAACTATTTCCACGGGGAACTGGAGGAACCTAATAAAGGGGCGTTGTTGAAGCCAACAGGTAGTCGTCGGCCTCATACCGCGATAGTGCTACGATGGGTAGCTGGTCGGCCTCCCTATACATAGGGTCTACCTCTGTCGCACAGTATTGGTCAATAGTAGGGTACTCAGGACTGAGGAAGGGTGCATACTCCTCACGGTGGAGCTTCAGCACGGAACTCGATAGGCATCTGGAAGGACCCATCACAACTCTTCACTGTGGCGACTCATACCTCAAGAAGGTGACTATATAAGCGTCGTTGTCACTGCTGATTTCGCCAGCTGCCGTAGTTCCAGTGTCATCAAGTTTGTCAATCTCCTCCAAGAAAGCTTCCATGAAGTCCTCCACGGTGAATCTGAGGAATTCTGTCAGCACCAACAACAAAACTTTCAGCAAAGCACTTCGGGTAGCCGGCCGCCTCGCAACATTGTAGACCTTCTTTCGAGACTAATGTCCGGAACCTAGCCGACAGTGTTGTGTTGTCAGGCAGTGTTTGTTGTCCGTGGTCCTTGATGATCTGAGGGAGGAAATTACGCTCGTCCGTTTTGAGACGAGGGACACTAAACTCCAAAATAACCATGTTCGAATTGATATTCAGAGTGCAGGAAAGTAGGCAGTACGCGAAGATATGCACATGGTCAACAACATGCGTCGGTGAAAATATCAAAATTCTAAGAAAAATTTTGCGAGATCCACACACATAGACATAGATCAAACACAAGTATGTGAGAAAACTAGCCATATGTACCTGCAGGATCCCACAAGCATATGCTCTATAGAAGCAATTCCCATCTGGCCGTATTCGCCTTATTTTGCTCTCCTTCGGCAGAGACTCCAGTTTCACAATGAAAGAGGTAGGAGCTGTGATACATCTGAGCACCTCGACAGGCTATACAGACCTACCACCACTACTCCTGATCTTTTCGGTGAAATCCACTACGCTGATTGGTGATGATATTAGAGGTAGGGACGCACATTCCTCCTCCCTTATAGCAGCCAGTTGGGCCAGAACTGAATCAACGGACTCGAGTGTTGGCGCTTGCTGCTCCTGTAGGCCCTGTGGGTATTACTCTCATCATCAGTCGGTTGTGGGGTCGCCATAATAATACCACACCTTTCACAAACCTATTGCGTGATTGAGTCTACCAAAATAGCGAGTAAGGAAATCAAATTCGTGGATAGAGACATCAATTTAGCACCAGTGGTCGAATGAGAAACTCAATTTCACTGGTAAAGACATTAACTCCGAGTTGCGCTCTCGGCTAAGCGCCGCTAGAATTGTGCAATAAAACGTAAACGAATCCTTCGCGTTGCGCAAAAGTATCCTCCGCGAAAATCATCGTGGAAAAATGCTGCTTAGATTGTTATCTGCAGCGATGATGGAACTTTATCCCGAAACTGCTGTCCTTAGCTGCGAAATTGACTTCTAAGGGATTTAGAAATACTTCTAACCATCGCCAACTTCCCTCGAGAGCACCGAGGTGCATTCACCCCTCACAGGTAGTTGTACTAGCCAAGTAAAAGTAGGCAGCATCGTGTACACTCAACGTGAGCTGAAACGATTGAACACTAACGGTTTTTGCGCTTTTAAGTTTCTCGCCCGCCCAGAGCCAGCGAACTTAGGGACAACGAAAACAACAGTTGCATGGGAACCTGTCAAGACCTTACATAACTGTCGTTGCGGGCGTATAACCCTAACCTCGAAGCGACAGTCGAGATGCATTCCCTCTTGGGGAGGAGAGGGAGTTGACTGCAGGGGGGAGACCCCTTATCGATTCTGTATAGGCTAATGCCCTGACCACACCTGCTGTACATGACCATATCGTATCCATTATTGCCACTGGGTGTTGTTTAAGTATCTCATAGAGTCGCTCCTCGTGCGTCTTGTCCGATGGGAACGGATGAGAAGTATTCGACCTGGCCATAAGGACTTCACCAGTAGTTACCAGAACGCCTGTTGAGTTAGGGAGGCCCTCATAGTGTCGGTCACTCTTATGAAGGTATATGCTGATATACACAATATTCCGAATAACTTGTCACACCTCAGCAATGAGCAAAACAGCTCTTCACTGGGACCGCTGTCAGAAGAGATTATTTTCTCAAGTGTAGTAGTAGTAATAGGCTTTCAATATTTAATTTCCCTCATCATAAGGAGCATGGAACCCTTGGCAGACCCGCTGCATGATCGTCGAGTTCATACCGTAACTCCGCCACCTCGTGCGGTAGGGTCGTCAAAAGACAACAGTCATGCTGTTGCTGCTCAGCCGCTTACACCGGAACTGCTCTTCCCCAACGGTGAGGAGGCCCCACCCGACTGGCGATGCCTCAGGAAGCATCTGGTGAGTAGAAGAAACCCCTGGACGATGCATTATCTAGGACAGGTCGCTGAAGGAAGACTTTACATTGAATCCATCACACGAATAGTGAAGGAGCTCATAAGGCTGTGTGCGGCAGAAGCCAACGTTGTGCATGTCAAGGACCCCGTCACTGTTGTAGGGGACATACATGGACAGTACTAGAAGGGGAAAGAGTTCGAACATTGACGGTGTTGGTAGATACTATGACCTTATTAAATTACTACAAGTCGGTGGCGACCCGGAAACCACTCAGTACAACACAAGAGAGTTTATGCAACTTTCACGTGTTCATTAGATATCTGTTCCTCGGGGACTATGTAGACAGAGGAAGCTACAGTGTAGAGGTCCTCCTGCTATTGTAATGGTATTCTCTCTCGGTTTTATGCTACTCGCCCATTGTCAAAAGATATGCGTTGAAGATCAACTACCCCAAGACGATAACGTTACTACGCGGGAATCACGAGTGCCGACAAATGACTGCTTTTTTCAACTTTCGAGATGAATGCGAGTAAGATTCTGCTCAGGGCCGCTCTATCGGGGAAGGCTTCATTTTGGACCTTATTTTCCTAATTTGTGGGATCCTGTTGGATGCCGTATTGTTGTCGTTGTTTAGGTATAAGTATAATATAACAGTGTATGAGCTTTTCATGGAGTCCTTCGATAGCCTCCCGTTGGCGGCTGTTGTTAATGGTAATCATCTCCCCCTAGTACTGTTGACCTTTCCCCGTTCAGATAAGTTCCTTTGCATTCATGGTGGCTTGTCCCCTGAACTTAACACTCTCGCTGACTTTGATAAAATCAACCGTTTTCAAGAGCCTCCTAGACAAGGCCTCTTCTGGTAAGTCCTACAGCATTCTAGTGCGGGGGGTTGCTCACGTTGTCGTGGCGTTTAGTGATATCCTCTGGAGCGACCCTGAGGAAGAGAAGGAAGGCGTTGCCGTATTCAAGCCGAGGGGGAGATCATTTGTTACTAATGATGTGGGCATCGGTTGTTGTAGTAGTAGTTGGGATACCCATCCTGTCGTAGGTGCGTGGGTGTAGTTTTTTCTATACGTATGAAGCGGCAACAAATTTTTTGCGGAAGAATTCGTAGGGCGGTTAGATGTCTGGATTTTCTCGCGGACGATCCGGGTTCTATTCTTTGTACAGGTTATTATCGGTTATCCGGGCCCATGAAGCCCAGCTGGAGGGCTACAAAATGCACAGTAGTGAAGGAACGTGGGGTGATGGACGTGAACTCTCTGATACGCGCCGTCTTCTCCGGTTAGACTACCCCCTTCCCTCGGTCTAGTCTTACGTACTTTTTTGTACCTCGCGTGTAGACTGGCGGAGGAACGCCTCGGGAATGATTAGATTATCAACCCGTAGTTGCGTCTCGTCGTAGTGCATTGAGATGGGTTCCCTCACTTGAGCTGTTTATCACATAATTATCCCACCGGCGTCTAGGGGCTCACCATATGTATGGTTCGTAGTGTTGCTAACGATGTATCGGTGTTTTTAGGAACGAATGAGGTGACAGGCTTCCCCTCGGTCATCACCATCTTCTCAGCTCCCAACTACTGTGATGTATACAACAATAAGGTGGTCTCTATTATTGTCAGATGGTGCCTCCTGATGCGATTCAGTTGTTGTTGGTCAGGGTGCGGTATTGAAATTCGAGAACAACACGTTGAATATACTCCAATTTAACTACTCCAAGCATCCGTAAGACGCCCTGTATGATGCCGTTGTTATCCATCATTCTACAGGTATCATTTACCCAACTTCATGGACGTGTTCGCTTGGTCTATGCCTTTCGTCGCTGAGAAAATCACCGAGATGCTCTTCTATGTACTCAACCCTCAGAATGAGTCTGGTGATGTGAGTATGGTCGAACCTATTCCGAATTAATTACACCTTCCAGTACATTCGAGCGCCCGACGTTGCTGGTGAGGATTTACCACACTTACCGGAAGCAGATATACGACAGTTGAAGTTGGCACGGCTTTCGAGTTTGACTGAGGAACAGGTGGGCTCGACACGGGCATGGGGATGGGGTCATCGTGGCAGTCATTAGAATAAGTCGGTATCGTTAGCGGCTCGACTACATCAACACATGATGGCCGAGGGGGCTAAGGTGATCGAACAAAGTAGTAGTAACGGTAGATGTACTCGGCAGGTCCTTGTTGTAGTTAATGCTGTTGATGTTGTTGATATCAGTCTTGAAGGCTAAGGTGGAGGGTGGTTCTGTCAGGTAGAGCAGCGGAATCGAGCGGTAAGGCGATCTCGAAGGAAAAGGCTGATCGAATGCGGAAGAAGATTCAGACGGTGAGAGTAGCCCTATTGGTGCACTTGGAAAATGAGCGCTTCGTAGGTGAGTCGTATGATGTTAATGTTCAAGACCTTGCGAGAGGAGAACGAGACCATCATCAGCCTCAAGGGCGTCTGTCCTGGGCACAGGTAGTAAAAGTGTAGAAGGAGTGGTATGGCAGTTGGTCGTCGTAGGTTGGCACCTGGCCTCCTCTTGTCGGGTCGGGATGCGCTACAGGGTGAACTGGAGAAATTCACGAAGGCTCGTGCGATGGATCTCGAGAACGAGAGGATGCCCTCCGAGGAGGAAGTCGATAGCCAACCTCATTTCCATCGAGGAGTATCATCGTCGTGATGAGGGACCCCTTGGGACTTGCTCTGTGTCTGCTGGTCTATGGAGGCGCTCTGGACTAGTGTAAGGTTACTACTAGGCGGAGAAGGAGGAGCGAATTGGAAGCGGCGGAATCGTCCCGACTGTTCTTGTAATTGAATTTTATGGAAGCTATTATTGACACCGTCTCGACTTGGCTTGGGTTGTCAATGGAATGTTGATCCTTGGGGCGAGGAGGAGACACCAACCTCGACGCCCTGGGTCAGAGATCATCGCAGTTGTGGTGTTGATGGAGAGGACATGGGCATGGCTCGGGTCTATTGGGCGTATTGGTGGGTCGGGACCTCATCCGAGATGCCTTCCACAAGGTCTAAGTGAGTGCTGACCTGGTGGACTGTGGGTTACAAAGACAGACGTTTTGGTAGAGAGCTTTTTCATTGGCATGAACTGTTCCTACCTATGTCACTTCAGCCGTGCTGAGACCCTCAGAGTCCCGGGTTCAACACCAAGGGACGGCTTTCTCATATTTATTGTTGTTTCCATTATGTGGAAGCCTACCCTTCTCCTCCTCTTAACGGTGTTCATCCCTTCCGTGTCACCAACCTCCGACGAGGATGACGTCACCGAATACGAGAAGGACTTCCATGAGTTCGACCAGGACGCCGACGGTAGTCGTGACAGTGTCCCTCCTGCACGGTTATCATCTTGAGCAGGGGTGATTGATGCCCAAGAGATCAGGAGCCTCTACACTGGAGATCTCCGACCACAGGAGCTCGATGCTTTCGTAGGTTGATGTTGTTGTGAGATGGGGAAGTGAGTTGTTGTGGTCACTTGTGCAGATTCGTGAGGTTGATGTCAACCAAGATGGTTTGAGTGAGAAGGCCTATGGGTTGTTGGTAAGTGATAACTTCATTCAGTTACCTACCCCGAGTACATCGACTATGCTATGGTGAACTTCTAGTTGGCTTCATCACAGTTTCGTGGTGATGTGGACATGCTCGTTGAAATGATTTTCAAAGTGTTGAGTTGAACAGTTTGAGAGGATGGACTTGTTCCGAGGGGCCTTTATGAAGAGGCATGTACGAAATGAACCGAACTCTCTGAAAAATAATGTGCAACAGTGTTAGTCCGATGGGTTGAATTCATCCATTCGGGTCGATAAAGCAAGTCCATAAATAACAGTCAACCGAGGATAGAGGAATACTCAGTAGCAATTGTCCCAAACCAACTAGCAGGCTCCAAACTCGTGTCGATGGCCTGAGGAGACGACGACTGATCCATCCACGTCACCAAGAAGAGTTTTTGTGATGGTGTCCCACCCATCGCTTCAGAAGACGAACGCTCGACCGTTAGAGATCCCTCAACCCCCTAAAGCGCGCTATCTAACTAGAGGGAGCTCAGGTGCTCTGTCGCCGGTACTCGGTGGCAACAGCTTTGTTTCTCCCACTTTTGCGTTGAGTACTCCCTTATACACTCCCAGATGCTAACGACCGCAACAGCGTTGGCAACTGTTGGTAAGGCGACCCATCACCTCGCCTGCCAATGTCTCTCCCTACTACTACTAAACTCAAGTGAGCAGAAGACTCGAAAAACTTCAGCACCGCCACTGGCATGCAACGAAAGTTGAACTACAGACTATCGAATGGCTACGTGAGTATTATGGAACTAGGACGGGAGGAAATAACTGGCCGCGGTAGCTGGAGTGTTGGGGAGCACTTCGCCCGGCTTCATCAGGAGCTGAGGTTGGGTGAGTTGTTGCTGCTGGTAATGCTGTGGCTGTTGAGTAATGATATAGTCGCTAGTGCTAGTGCCAAGCTCGCTAGAAAATGGTGATTGTAGATGGTATTGTTGGCGACATATTGGGCAGAAAAGGGAAGTGCCGGACCTGAGGATCGAACCTGCGCCTCCCGGTCCATGGAAGCTGCCACCAAGCTCCTCACATCGACACGAAGTTTCTCCCACAGGCCCCGCAATGGACTTCCTTCGCACCTCCTTCCTGTACCGCCTTCGCTGCCTGTGCTTGCATCTCTGACACGCACAGCGAAGAATTTATCAAAGATACCTCCGGATCGCACCCACCCTTCTCGAAGACGTAGCGATGCTCCTCCTCCGTCAAGATGTCATTACTCGGGTCCACACTGGCCATCGATCGCTCACAGAAGTTACCCATATCAAAGTAGTGATAAGATAATTCAAAAAGAGTACCCTTCTCCCAACACGACAAAGCAGTGAATCAAAGAGCTTAAGCTTCAGTCGGCGGCGTCACAGAGCCCCCGGCTACTCCCACTGCCAGAGCACCTGTACACTACTTCTTCTCCTCGCGATTCAGAAAGCATTTCCCACCAGCTCGGCAACCCTCTCGTAGGGCCGACTCCTCATCGTCCTCATTCCTCATCCAGGAAGACAGAAAAGCCGCAGTAAAGGCATCGCCAGCTCCACAAGCATCAACGCAATCAGTCTAAGGAGGGCAAAAATTGGTGACCATGTGAGTAACTATCACCACGCAATTACCTCTACAGCAGGACAGTACGTGACGCCTCGAGCGGAAGAAAGGAGTGCTCCTTTATCAGCTAGTGTCACCACCACCTTCAAGCCTGGCAATCTCCCACGTGTCACCACAACTCCACCAGAAAGCCCTACCCTGGTTTCCACAAGCCAACCCATGGTACAGTATATGAGCTGCGTACTCCTCAGCTGCAGGGTCGACCGACTGCTGCCGGGCCAATGCCAACAAAGTTGGCTCGGAATCTGTCAGGTAAGGATGTCTGTGATAACAGTGATGGAAGATATACCTCCCTTGAGTGTGCTCAGGGTGGCAGCTATATGCCGGGCTTCATCCTTGTTGCATATGATTACGTCAATGCCGCCTAGTATGTCACCTACTCCTCCGTCCCACCCGCCCGTAGCATCAAATTGAGGGGAGAGGGAGACCGAACAACCATCACTGAAAAGAATGAGTGCTTCAAGGACGCTAGTGCTAGTGATAGGCACCACTCAGAATTTCAGAGTCTTCAAAACTAGTATAAGAATGGACCTATTCTGTATCATGCTCGGAGTAACCTAAGATTCCTCAGCTAGATGAGACTAGTTCTGTCACCGAAACACCCCAGAGTGCCTTCAAGGAATTGAGTCGATCGAAGCCTCACTTCTTTGCCCTCCTGACCAGGTCAGTTACATCCGGCCAAAGGCCTTTACAGTTATAATAGCCAGCCAAGTGAAGATGACGAGGGGTGCCTGGTGGAGCTCATTTGACCACTAGGGAGCGGACCCTTCCTCACCTGTAGGGACGCCCTTGAATAAGGAGTCGATATCTATATTGGCACACGTCATAGTACCCAGAGTACCACCTAAAAGAAGAACAACCTTTCTCGAAGAGCAACAAGCACTAGTCGTTACGTTTTGATACGAAAGCTCGGTCCTTCCTGCCCGAGAGGCATACACATACGCCGCTATCATAACGGTCGATGCCCTTCAAGGGCGCCACCTAGCAGAGGAGGAACTCCCACGACCAAACAGTACCACAGAGTGCTCCGAATAAAATGTGTTATTGCCGGTAACTTACAGAATTCCATGAAATTTCCAGTGAGATCTAGCTCATTAAAAAGATCTTCGAATTCGAAGCTACCCAAGATGTTAGCATACTACTACCTTTACTCCACTCTGCTTCAGGCGCTTCATAAGGACCTTTCCTACACAACAGGCGCATTCCTGACTTAGTCAATTTCTATATGTATTATTATTACCAGCGAAATCATACTGACCAAAGGTGCGTACGATGCTCACGCGTGTGGAGGGGTCGCAGTATTTTAGCCAGATCGCTGTATTCAAGGCGGAGCCACCAGCAACCATGTCCACTCCCTCGGCTAATCTCTGGCGATTGAGAGTGTCAGGAAGCAGTAGTGTTCTCGTTGGGCTCACATCCTCCCCCCACCGTGGCAAATCATCCCCTTCTAGTCTGCATAATATATCGCAAAAACTGTCCCCTACTACTGCTATTGCCGACGATGGCTGATTCGAATGAAAATGCTGATCGCACTACGTTGATGATGCACTCACGTCCTGTGGTCGTTTCCGCCGCTTCCTTGATAAGGCACACAGTGTAGCCACGCCAAGAGAGACCAATGCTACTCCTAACAGTCGCGGATGGTCCATCTCCGTGTAAACTTGATGGGCACTGATAGCAGTCGATATGAGGTCTTGCCAGCGCTTAGGGATTACACCAGTTACCACTTCACAACACAACGATCAAACACGAGAGAAACTTACTACTAGAGATTTACGGATCACAAATTTGATACAACAACAACAACGCCATCAGCAACTTCAAAATCGATGGTTAATATCGCCCCGCCCTAGTCTTTACTGAGGGATTTATATGCTGCACCAGCAGCAGCACCAGCCGCTCGCCCGGCCGATTCCAACACGGCGTAGGTCTTCTCCTTCCTCTCCGGCGTGAAGTACTCATCCACAAAGTCCCTCGTTGAGTGATACGCCACACAAGTAGCAGTGCTGGCCACATTCCAACTTCGGCCCAGCTGAGTCTTGTCGCCTCTGTCGAGCAGTAGGCCTTCTTCTGACTTGGTGAGGAAGTAGTCGTAAGCAACGCACGACTTCTGCCAGGCACATTCTACTGCCTGCTTACACGTCTCGAAGCTCTCCGAGTTAACTATGTTGTTGATAAAATCCGTATCACAGATCGAACGGTCTGCCGCGGACATATTTATATTTTTCTATAACTGCTCTGCAAAAGAAGTAGCGAACTTGCTATGAACACAACAGGAAGGAGAGTTAACGAGAAAACACCATATAGTAAGAAAAGTCAGTTACTGTTCAGTGATACAAATCAGATGTTATTACTGTTCACCACTCCAAACAGTGGTGACACTATTGCCTAATGTCACCCTATCAACGAAAGTGATAATCTTCACAAAATCGTCGTTTCAATGGCTCCTCAACGAGGACTTGTAAGCAACAGCAGATGTACGTTTACTACCGCTACTAGAGACCTTCTTCTTATTGTCGCCTACCTTCCTTCCCACCCCAGTAGGAACAGGTGCAGCAGTGTTATACGCCTCAGCTGGACCACTACGTGTTACTGCGTCTACCAGCTTTCCTCTCGTTTACTACATCATGTACTACCTCAACTGTATCAGCACTCGAGCTGCCATCACCCAGTCTCACAGACCTAGTGCCCTTCCTAATCTTCTCATCATCAACTCCAAAGGCAGCGTCCTCAACAGTCAGCTCTGCACCTTCCTCGGGTCTCTTGAGGCACTTCTCTTCTACCATATACTTACCCTCTTCAACACAACGTGTAGTGTTGCTAACTACCATAGCAGTAGCAGTGCTTACCACTTACCAGCTTCTACCCAGTTGGGACTTCCCAGGCCTTTGCAAATTCAAGCCATTTTCCGAGCTAATATCTCTCACAGATTTTCTGCCACACGTGAGCAGCCACTCGACTTGCCTCTCCATAAGCCTCCGAGTCAACCACCTTATGATACATCTCCGGCCCACACACCGCTCCCTCGGCACGTGCATGTTCTTGTGCTGACAATTCCAATGGATAACTGCTCATCAACAAAATGCTGCGATTATAGTTGGATCAGCAAAATCCTCCAAGTAGCGTTGAGGAAATGCAAGATTGCAAGATTCACCTAGAAAACCCAGCACTACCAAACACACTAGCAACAAAGAAACGTCAGTCGCCGCGCCATATATTTCCACATTTTACGCAGCGATAAAAGGTCGTCATTGGCTCATCAGCACTTCGGATCTGCATCTGCTTGAAGTAAGCACGGTTAGAGTCACAGCCGTCCGCCGGGCAAACAGCTGAGGAGGAATGATGACGAGGAGGAGGAGGAGGAGGCGGGGGGAGTTCCGCTGACCTTCAGTTTGTTGAACATCCTTCCATGCATCAGGACCCCCAAGGACATCCTCAACCACTGGGCCACCTAGCAACATTTAATCGGGTGAAAAATGACGACTGCTGGGATTGAACCCGGGTCCTTCCAAAGACAGCCGCCGTTACCTTCCTTGTGTAGTATCTCCTTCTGCGTGAGCTTCTCTGAGATAGGAAACAGGTAGGGGCATGTCCGACACCAGTATCTAATACACTCATATACTCCTCTCCAATGCAGACCAGCCTTCTCACTTCATCGTATCATGGCCAGCTTGTAAGACTAGTAGGTTGCCACACGTCGGACAGAACAAGACGCCCGACATGACCACTAACAACAACTCGATAATGACCGCCACTCCCTCCTAACTCAGATCTGCTTCGTGTATAGCGAAATATAGCCATTAGTGTGTACAAGCGTTGGTAGACGTAGTTCAGTGACGTAGTTGGACGTAGTGACTGCTGATCGACGCGAAGGAGGGAGTCCGAAAGGAAGAGGAAGAGTTGGAGAAACGTGAGACCTGCTCTACCCTCAACTTCTATTGTACGTATCTAGGCGCTTCCCTCGGCAGTCATTTGACCTGAGCACAAATGGTACAATAGATAAACCTCGAAACCTCGAATCCACCTCTCTCCCTTCCGCACCGGTTCTATCCCCACCCCTACCACCTTCACTTGGTTTTTTCTCTGCCCCCATCAAAGACTTCCTAGCATTCTTTCCGCGGTACTTCTGTATATTCTCCTTCCGCTTCGCCTGAGCCGCTGCCTGCTTCTCCTTCACTTCCCTACTTCTAGCCGCCCTACATACCATCACAGTTAACCCCTCCACGGCCCCTCCTCCCTAATCCTACCACTCTTCACGAGATTTGTTCCTCTTCTTATCAATAGCCTTCTGAGCTTTCCTCAACTTATGCACATCATCATGGACCTTCTCCCCAGCGGCCCTCTTCATCGCCTACACCAACACACATACCTTGTTGCCGCCACCAGCTATCTACATGTCACAACAACTGCTAGAACAGTGCTGGAACATATCATCGCTTTACTCAGCTGAGCTCGGGATTTTCCTCCTCAACTACAGGGGTTTCTAAACGAATTATGGTAGGAGTATACGAAATTAACAAGATTTTAATACTGTCACCAATTCATGTAGTAGACAATGTGCATATTTTCCCACACTAGAAGGTAGGCAAGGCCAACCCTACCCTTTCAATAGCCTTGTCTTGACTCAGTTTAACTCTCTCCTCAGCAGAGGAGGCCTGGGCAATCTGTTGCCGCTCCTTCTCAGCTTCTTGTATCTCCCTATCTAGACGCTGCCGCTTGGAGACCTTCTTCTCCTTGTGCTCCTCGACTAAAGAATAACAACCATTGTGTCACAGGGTAAATTCGAACCAGAGACCTTCTGAATAGAGGTCAACACCGCTATCTCACTCCACCATACAACTACCTCCCTCACGGCCTTACCATCAGCTGCTCTCTTCTTGAAGTTAAATGAGCTAAAGTCAAGATCCTCCTTCACATTAGCCTTCTCCTCCCCCTCCTCCCTCTCCTTCCTCTTAGCCGCTATTGCTGCCTTCATCTCAGCCTTCTTCTTCCCACCATTTTTGGCTTTCTTCTTCCGCTCCGCCGCAGCCGCCTTCTGCTTAGCCCTTCGGAGCCTCTTAGCATCACCAGCGTCCTCATCCTAACAGGACCAACCATAAGAAAACACCTCGCATTCATAAGCCCAAGCCTTTCCAATGAAGGGAAATACTCCTCCCCAACAGAATGTCTGCCGCGAACACCCTGATTCTACTCCTAGGTGGAAGTCGTCGGACCAGTAATGTCAGTGCGAAACCAAGTCCGAAATTATATTGAGTATTTGCAGATAGATTCCACTATGGAGAGCAGTGATGAAACATATGTTCGCCTTCCCCCAGCTCAGCTTGGGAGTCTCCTCACATACTATACAAGTTCGCATAAGAATTCGGGTTGTATAGTAACCAATAAGAATTTCCGTACTCAAATGCCCACCAGTGTGGGAAACATAAGGAAAGCGCCCCGACCCGTCACTACCTCCTCTGTTTCCTTCGCAGCCTTCTTCCACTCCTTCTGCGACTCCCGAGCCTCCCTAACCACTACACGCTACACAGGACACACCTCTAGCAGCCCCCCCCACCTCAGGGCTTCGATCTTAGCATGAAGTTTTTCTCGAAGTTCCGCGCCAGAAACAGGACGAGTGACTTCTGATCAGAAATAGCGTCATAAGGGTTGACCCTCCAGCGTTAATATTGATACCATACTGTATGAATTCTACACACAATGAACATTGCATAGTGTAGTGGTGTAATACTATTTCACACAGGGCCTTAATAATATATGCACATAACGATAGATCAAGACATATTACTAAATATTCATCGTAAAACCAGACAAAGGACCGAAGCGAAGCTTCTGATCAAACTACCAGGCTAGTCCACGACGATAACGCGATTCCCCTCCTATTACTAGCCTTCTTCTTTTTGGTATTTTTCTTCACACCAGAAGCCCTCTCTTGCTCAACTTTCCGTTTACTAAGTACTTCCTCCAACACCCTAGTCGTGCCCTTCACATTTCGAGGCTCCAACTGCCTTCCATGTCCACCCGCCTCCTGTATTGTCAAGGGCGAGTCTCCAAAGGTGACCGTCTGGAGATACTGATGGGCCGGTATCAAATCGATCGTCTGATCGATTGCTTCCCGTATCTCCCTGTACTTCCTCCGAAGAGCCTGCTTGCTCAACACCTTGGACGAGCCCATTGCTGCTGCTGCCCCTGAGGGCCTCTCCTGTACAGTAGCAGGGACCGACATGGTGACACTACCTAAAACTACTTCAGCACCCTTTCCACCACCCATCTAACCCAACAGTAAACACCAAAAAGTCTCAACTGCTGAGTTATATTAGTTTATAGTCAAATCAAGCAAGTCAAAGATGCTCCTCTAGAAAGAGCCGCACTAGAGCAGTAACCAATCGCCACCGGAGTGCCAGGTGAATATTCATCATGAACCGCTGAGGTCCGAAAATCCGTCCAAATCCTCCGACGAGTATATAATAAAGCTTTCGGTTGTTGGAATACTAGTGCATTGTATCTAAACGTAGTAAGCCTATATTCAGTGTTGAGCTATATGCTCGTTTTCCTCAGCTGAGCTCAGAGATTTGCAAACTACGTTATGGAAATTTACACACGAATCCGGGTAGAAATGTACAGAAACCAACAAGAATTTTCATATAATCACCAACACAGGTGGCTGACCATATGCAGATTTTTCTATACCGCATTTAGCTGCCAAAAAGAAGCCTCCCCCCACACAAGGACTCCCCACTACTACACTTGAGGCACGTGATGTGGCCGTCCTTTCCTCTTCCCCTCGACGAGGCCCTTGGACAGAGTTGGACAAAGGTAGGGCATTTGGAGGGTTCATGGAGGGCAGGGGGACAGTGTCACAGACCAGCATTCGTCTCAGTTCATCGATCTGTGCCTGAGAGCTGACGAGGCTAGCCTTAGTAAAGCTCCCATTAGAGGATCACCTCCAAGGCGGCCACCGTCTCCTGCAGTTCCTCAACGTATCCCCCCTCTGTCTGCACTACAGCGTCTATGACTGATACTGAACTAGACGATGTGAGAGACCTATAACACAGTCAGTGGTGACGGCCAGGGGTGACTCCATACTTCGAGCAACAATCATCATCTTCAATACACCTGTGCCGACCATATCGGGACTTGGCCCCAGAGGGACAGGTCAACACATCGACACTCGTAAGCGCACCAAAGGGACTGCATAGGAATAACCACAAGTTCAACTCAGCCTTATTACTCCCCTTCCCAAAAGCAGGCATCAGCCTCCTCAGCCACTTCAGCGTCTGTCAACTCCTCAGCGTCACTCATCCCCGTTGAGGGTGTTTCCAAATCGCCATAAACATCCCTATGTAGTTGATTGGCGAACCCTCGTACATCAGCAGCAACTTCTCGCAGGAAGCAAGGCCACATCTAACACTGCCAACAACTCAGCATCAGCCTCTCCCCACGAAAACCCAACAAGAACAACTTACTTGCCGCTGAGATACGGTGTAATAATACTGCACTTAAAACAACATGACGATGATACCTTCGATAGTCGATGAACAGAATATAGGTCACAAAAGCAAGCACAGTGCCAGGCTGATTACAGCTAATTTTCTACTCGTTTTTTACGTATTTCGGAGGGCAAAGAAAACTAAAGACGTTCTCGCCAGCAACTTGTCGCACCGTCCTCGTAAGCCTCTGGTCAGCCCCGCAATGATTCGTGACCAACTCCGCGATGTCGCTTACAATCTGTACATTTAAATTGAAGTAGTTATGGCGTATCGAATGAACATTTTGCTGCATATGTCGGCAGTCCATCACGTCAATACGACTACGACCATATGGTAATCCTCCAGCCGGGCGCGCGCTAACTGGCCAGATCTTCCTCCCTATCACTTTGTTTCTCGAGAAGAGCTCCGAACAGAGCAAAGCAAAGTCCCTATCATCGCAATACATCGTCATTCGATCGGCAACTTCCAATACCCGAGGCACATGCACCTCCTCAAAGCCTCTCACAGGGAAGTCAGCGTTAATGAGGACTACATTAGAGAGTCTCAAAACGTCCACACCCTCAGGATCGGCGAACCGTCGGTCCTCGTACTCCTGTAGCATTGCAAAGAACAGGTGGGCCGCCATACTGTGCACCAGGAGGTGGACCTGATCGTATCCCCTTCTCCTCAGGTCCAATAAGAAGTCCAGAAGGTCCGTCTTGAAATATCCAATACACCGCTTCGCCTTAGTATACGAAAATGTCTGCCCAGTAGCTTGAGAGAATACAAAGGGATGAATGTGAGAAGGGAACCTCCCCAGCGCCAACATTTGGCCCAGACGCAGTAGAGCATACTCCGTCGGACAGTTGTAGCCGTGCAAGAAGACCAGTGCCTCACTAGAGGGTTTAGTGATGGGCAGGGGCTCCAGGACATACATAGACCGACCCACTACCCTCACTCTAGCACTGCATTCGTAGCCCTCCTTTATCTCCAGGCCCCGATTAGGCCAGAGATGTGCCGTTATGCGCCTATCCTCATCCTCTAGCCGACTCGTAAGAGGATTCCCTCCACCACGAGGAGGCGACGAGAGACCTGATCACACTGCCCTTGGCTCAGTATTGCTCAAACAAAATAACTACTGTAAGTATCAACATCCCCACTAATAAGACTCCTCCGTAGAGTTCTCAAAGATTCACCGATCTCTCGGGTCTCCAGCCCGATACGGTCAGTAACCTGACGAACCCGTTGGGGTAGTTTCTTCCGCCCCTCAGCCTACCTGGGGTAAATGCGCATAGAAATCGCCACCAGCACAGCATTCCACTCCGACAACTCCATACCGCATGCCATCGTCTGAGCGTTGAGGGTAAAAGTGCGTGTCTCGGATATCCATCTCGGCCCTGCTAGTAGCATACCTATTCACATCCTCATGTTTCCTCCCACCCCACCCGAAGGACCCAACGAGTACTACATGATGTACGTCTGGACCGACAATGAGCCCGAACCAAATTCTCTGGCCCGGAAGGGCCCAACAGGATCCCCATGGGAGAAACGCCCCATCAGGCACTCGCCATGAAAAGAGTCATCTCGCCACTCTCCAGTGCCATGGGGCCGGCCCTAATGCGAGCCCTATGACGACCCAAACGTATAACCCCGGCAGACCTCTTCATCTGTCGACCCGGTGTATCTACATCGTCGCCATGTGCGAGGAGTGAAGACCCCATAGGGCATGTATCGGAACCACCCATCTCCTTCGTATTGTAATCGGAACCTGACAACTCGGCAATCACCACTTATCCCTCGTCCCTACCATTAGTACCAGTGCTTGGCAAGCCATACTTCTGATATGTTGTGAACGAGGAGTGGGTAGAGCCAATGTAGTAGGGCATAGGCCAGGAAGAGGGCCAACTCGATGCTCATTATGAGTATCAATACGAGACGCTCGCTCTAAGGGGGAGGG